TAGCAAAGGATATTCGGAGTTTGACTAGCCAATCAGAGCGCGCCTTCAACGCTATCCACTGTTTTAGTATATACTAACAAAGGATATTCGGAGTTTGACTAGCCAATCAGAGCGCGCCTTCAACGCTATCCACTGTTTTAGTATATACTAACAAAGGATATTCGGAGTTTGACTAGCCAATCAGAGCGTGCCTTCAACGCTATCCACTGTTTTAGTATATACTAACAAAGGATATTCGGAGTTTGACTAGCCAATCAGAGCGCGCCTTCAACGCTATCCACTGTTTTAGTATATACTAACAAAGGATATTCGGAGTTTGACTAGCCAATCAGAGCGCGCCTTCAACGCTATCCACTGTTTTAGTATATACTAACAAAGGATATTCGGAGTTTGGGTAGCCACTCTGAGCATGCCTTCAACGCTATCCTCTGGTTTACTATACACTAATTATGAGTAGTTAAACGTACCATAATGTATATCGATGATACTTGGAGCGAAGTGGCAGAGATGGCCAAATAGAGGAGAATTCTGGTTCTTTAATATGATATTTTCTCGTTGAGAGCATTGCGATGGAAGATACCGAAAAGAAAAGACGTTTATGCCTAGCTAACTTAAAACAGCTTCGTTATTAGTGCCAGATCCCGGTAAACCTCTCCGCGACTCGTATCCAATTTTCCCACCAGCGGGCGGCTAAATGCGCGGCCCGCAGCACTGATAATGAGGACCTGCTCGCAAGATAGCTAAAACCAGAGTATTGGTACCGAGATTAGCTTAGTACTGGTCATTTTATTTCCCGCGCCTGGCGCAGGCTGCGCAATTTTCCCGCGCTTAGAGCCATTTGTATATTTCACTTTGAAGTTGCGATTGGCCTGTTGTATTGTGTGTGATTGGCCAATCATGGTCTCTCTGGCGTCAGTCTGTCTTTAGTATCATTTGAAAGACGTGTGTACTCTGTTGCTTGCTTGGTTGACTTCATGTGAGAGAAATGGAATTGATAGCTTTACCGTCTTCATTTTTTCCACAGGGCGAAGTTGACATTTTAAAATCAAAATTAGCAAAACTTGAAAGGGAAAAGAAGGAAGTAGAAGAAGTTAACGAGAAGCTACAACAAAAGGTGCGAACACGTATTGCTTAGAGACATGGAGTAAGATTTCCTCAAAATTACTCCTCAGCAGGATGGCTTTCATTTCCTTGCGTTTGGAACCATTTTCTTTTTCCAAACGCAATTTTTCCTGGTTTGTCTCGAGGCCCCGTAATGTTTATTAATGTTGATAGTCAAACTAATCCTTGTCGGCTCTAATCCTAAATGCATTGTGTATTTGGAAAGAAATAAAAAGTGTTTGACGCACAGGATTGATTTATTGAAAGATAACGACTCAAAATTGGATTAGAAATAACGAAGGCTTGTGATTAAAAATAGTTTTGATAAAAGAAGTATTTTACCTTATCTTTGTAGTCTACCATCTGCCTTAGATTTTTTAATCGTCAGAAATTGCTTCGTAATTTTTCTTTTTCTGTAGTGATGTCAGAGTGAGCTGTTCACGTGATCGTGTGGCTTTCAGAAAATAATCTTTGCAACAAAATAATTGTGACTGACTAAGCATTTAGACTGATTCTTTTTAAATAAGCCCATTAGTTTTAGGTTAAGATATTATTATTTCTCTTTCTCACTAGCATATGGTGCTTTAGTTATTTTTTGTGTTGAGAGTGGGTTTAGATCAAGGGGTTCCTTAATTCTCGAAATCCGCCCTTTGGGTAGTGTTTCGCCACTATTAACAGGATTATGATTTTGTCATCCTTTGTTGTGCCAAAATTTGTTAGATAATGAATATTTCGTGTGGTGATGCGACACAGGTATTTCCCACGGAGAGTCAATGTTTTCTTAAACAATCAGTGTCTTTATGAAAGTGTATTTGGTAGGGAAAAAATCGAAATTAAGGCCAGTTTGTTTCCATGCCATCTCTTCAGAACAATGTATGTACCTCAAGTCTTCTCTGAAAAAAGTTCCGACTCTAGTTGATCATTTTTCCCCGGTTCTGAAAATCTGAGTAAATTTTATATAGCTTTCATAATATTTCTTCCACGAGCTGATTTCCTATCCAACATGCCCACCGAAGGTTTGGTGAGAAAACTCAGCCGTTCTCGTATGATCGTCTTTTGTAAACTTAAGTGTGGATTCTATAACTAGCTGTTTTTTTTAAAAAAGCTATTCGCCAGTTGTTAGACAGATTTTGAAGTTAGCGTCTGCTGGTGTCGAGTGGGGGCGCATCAGATGTTCAGAGCTTTTTTTTTTTTTCGTCATGTTTGTTCAGTTGTTTGTTTTTATTTCAGTTTGTTATTCGCAATCTACTCCTCTCTTCTACACCTTCATGTTATCTCATTCATGTTTGATTCTATAACTATGTTTGGATTCTATAACTAGCTGTTTTTTTAATAAAGCTATTCGCCTGTTGTTAGACAGATTTTGAAATTAGCGTCTGCTGGTGTCGAGTGGGGGCGCATCAGATGTTCAGAGCTTTTTTTTTTCGTCATGTTTGTTCAGTTGTTTGTTTTTATTTCAGTTTGTTATTCGTAATCTACTCCTCTCTTCTACACCTTCATGTTATCTCATTCATGTTTGCTTTGTTGTTATCTTGAATAATTTTCCTCTTGTTGATAAAGATTTTTTCGAGGATTTTTTTTTCCGATTTAACGAAATTTGGTTCATCGCAATTATATACCCCGACAACGCTGCTTGTAGGCAAGCCTTTGTTAAAATTCGATCTGTTTTTGAAATTAATTTGAGAGTAATGTTTTTTACTAATGGTAATCCCTAATACAGTTCTTCCTTGAAAATGTCGTGATAAACCTGTTAATTCTCCCAGCAAACATCTTAAGGAATGTAAAACGATTAGTGACGAGAACTTGTATTCTCATCTTCGTCAAATCTCTAGCATGTTTTATCTCAAAGATCCTCATGCAGATAGCCCTTATTGACCTTGAGGAATGTACGTGTGTTATATTTCTTTTCCGTGGTCCTGGTTAATTAATCGTATATATATCAGAACCCTGCATCGAATTCCTTTGATACCCCATGGGGTGAGCAAAGTTACCCTGTGATGCATAAATCGCCTTCGTTCAGGCCAAATTGACACTGACAGGTCAAATTTACTACATGAGATTTTAAGAGATGTTTCCGAAGACGTAGATCAATCGCCAGAACTATGAGGGTGTGTGTATTAACTTTCGCACTGAACTTAGTTCTCTGTGATATGCAATTGACGTCGATCAATATTTTCCACAGGTAACTGAACTATCCGCTTCTTTGTCCGAGGAAAGAGAAACCGCCAGCCATGCCAGTGAAATACTCGAAGGCGAAACAATGGAGAGGATGAGACTAGAACGTCAAATGCAGGAACTACAGGTTTGTAGGACGGTGAAGTATTTCAGGGGTGTAGAATTCCTCTCTAAGGGACCGGCGCGTTGAATATGTCTCATCGGGTAATCGAGTGCGCTCAACCAATCGATCCTGAATGTCTCATAGTAATATCTAAGATTTGTGATTTGAACACAATATCAATGTCCTTGATTCACTTCACGCATTCGAAACTGTAACAAGGTTGCGATATTCTGTAGAAATAAAGTTCCATATGAGCCAGAAGCACATAGAACTCACATAGAATTTTACTTTCGTGGGTCCGGTGATTTGTTCTTTGCCAATAAAAAGATAAGATCAACAATGTATACTCCAATTATGGGGGCTTCTGTTGACGAAAGAAGGCGATATTTAGATCAATTTCTGTGATATGTAGCAGGATCTTGGCACTGGACAGACGTCCATGAGATATGATATCGTATCTATCAGTTTCATTGCTTTCAGCTGCGGCAACTCATATGTTGCCAAGCAGTCTCGTGTTTGTCGCGTAAGTTGTGAACTAATTAACTTACCTGTCCGCTGTTCAATCTTGTGTCATGGCACCGCCATCGCTTTCTTTTGCGAAAACTCTATAATTTAAGTATGCCATCTGGAAATATTTGAAATCACATCCATCACTGATTTGAAGCTTGTTTCGGAAGCAATAGGAAGTATAGGAAGTCGTTATTAGTTCAAAGCAGTTGCGTTACTAGTCTCAGACAATCGCGTGACATTATCGCGTGACGTGCGATGATTGAACGCACGATCCCGTCTGGAGCCTGTTTATATAAGAAGATTAAGATAAACTGGGCCAGCTTCCGGTTTCTCTCAGCCTAGAAGTACATCTTATTTAAAAACTTTGTTCGGATCCAATGAAAAAATGTCAGTTTCTTTCGATTTCATTTATTTTCGTTGATAGAAAACTTCAGCAATCACTATATCCACTTTGCACTTCTTAGAACGATCTTGTTTTCATTCTGTCCTAAATAAACAAAATTAGATGACTTTGCTTTCTGGCACCGTCAAGATTTCCGGATTTCGTGTGGATCTGCAGCATAAATCCATTCAGACCTTAAATCCGGCCGTGAGAACTCTGGTTTGAAATAACATTTGGAGACAGGCTTCATTGTTAAGTGCATAATAAAATATTATTTATTCAAGAAAGTATTTCAGTTTCTTCACTGCTTTGAGGAGCGTGTAGATTGTTAGGCAAGCGAGCGTTATTTGTGAGACTGATCGTCTAACTTCTACATCGAATGGTCACTCGAGTTATAAACAGCCAAAAGCTTAGGGAATTGAATCTGCTTTTCCGGTGAAGTACTTCTGTATCCGTAAGTCGTGGATCACTTTGGAAAGTAAGCTTCAGTTTCTGAGACATGATTACGGCTTGGACGTGTTCACAGGTGAATCGCTCCTTTCGTATCAATATTCCAGCGTATAATTGTTGGTAAATTAATCAAATCATTTTCATCGCTTAACAACGCCTTTTGATTAACCATTTCCGTCTCCAAAACACTTTGAATGGATTATGTAAAAGATTTTGTTATCTCTTCTTTGAGGCGTACCGTTTGCGCGCCCCATAAGCAGTGTGCTCCCTTATTTTAAGCACGACAGGTAAACGGAATTTTCAAACCTGTAGAGCAATCCTTTTTCCTATTGAATTTTCAAGAATTTCAACCGATTGTAGGTGGTAATAAGAAGTACGAAAGGCGGCAAATTGTACCGGTTACTGCCTGAAAAGAAGAACATAAGCCTATATAAACCTTAGAATTTAACTAAAAAGGAGATTGTGGAATTGTTCGAGAGAACAACTGTGAATTTTATCATTGGTTACTGCCTCAAAAGGAGATCAATTCTTATCTAAACCTTAGAATTTTACTATAAAGGAAATTATAGAATTGTATCAGAGAACGCTTGTAAATTTTATCATTGGAAAAATCACACCGCAAATGATAGTGAATGAATCAGGTCAGGCCTGTATGAGTCAGCTTGAGAAAACTCCATGCCAAGCGGTTTCTTTTATTGTGGAGACGTAACCTTAATCTTTTTGCGTTTATTTGATAACTTTTGTGGAGTTCGTTTTTTGTGATTAGTATTTTTTTGAAAAAAAATGGTAAATCTTCTGATAAAGTATTTCTGGTGAAGGTTTCGTAAACCCCTGCATTCCTTCGCCTTTGTCTACTGCTCTTTCTTTCAAGCGGCCCCACGACTCCATTTTGTAGACGTATTAAGTATTTGAGACCGAGTCAACGTGGGTGACAAAATGGCAGAATGTTAGCGCCCTGTTTCTTGTTGGTGAGAATATCATTGTGTGTAAGCGGGAAACTGGATAGAGTATCTTACTTTTAGGGTGCAAAAAAAGGGATTGTGAATGGGCGATGATAGCCCAAGTCAAATATGTTATTTCAAGTTGCCAACCGATTTCTTTGATTGTTTGTATTATCATTGTAAACACCATTATCACACGATTAGCGAGTTGACAACGCAAAAATATATTTAGAAAGCTGAAACGTTTTCAATTGCGTGGGAAGATTTCAAGGTCCCGAAGTTGTTCTGATTTTTCGTCGGTTTTTTTTCCGCATACAAGCAAATTCTCCCAAGCGGTACAGTTCGAAATATAAGGCAACACCAAAGGAGAATTGTTATGCTAAGATCAGAACCTTGTGGCTTTACAGGAGTCCTTGGAGGACGTTAAAAAGAGGAAAGACAAACTGGAGGTGGAACTTCTTGAAGCAAGGGCTTTGAGTGTCACCGCCACAAGGAGTGTGGAGAGACTGGAGAGGTACGAAGGTGAAGGAGCTTCTGAAGACGAAGAGGAAGGTTAGTCAAGCCCGGGTTACTTTTCGAATTTCTGCCCTGATGGTAGTGGGTTTCTATAAACCTCTTGGTCCGGTTGTTCAAAGGATGACGCTATACAGTGGATAAATCGCTATCTTGCGGATAAGTATTAAAGAAATGTACTGTGCTGTCCACCGGATCTGTCCATTTGATAGCGTTAGTTACTCTTTGAACAACCGAAGCCTGAACTGTGCTCCTTTTTTAGCCAATTTGTATTTGCCCTGTTCAAGACGTTAATCCTTTGACTCCCACAAGTGATTGACTTGCAAGATTCTCCTTACATTATCAGTATTTAAACTACCAAACAGGCGATGAGAATAGACGATTTTATCAGCCAGAATGTGTTATTCTGAAGTTCTGCTAACTAGTTTGCAAGAAGAAGCATAGTAGGTATTAGGGAGTGTTACCATTTAGATCTGGCTCCTTGATTTCTTCTGTAAGCTTCGTATCGAACCGCTGTGGTTCTAACTGTCGGCTCTGTTCTGTTCTCACTACAGAATCGTTTTATCGCGAGAGGTACATCCAGGCCTCCAAGGAACATGAACAACTAAGAAAAAAATTACAAAGTCAGGCCGAGCAAGAGATAGAACAGCTAACAAATCAGAAGCGATTACTGGAAAGGAAGGTAAATGCGATGCAGTCCCTAATTTGGAGAGATTTTATTGCCCTGCACCCTCTACCTCTCACGTTACTCAAACGTCCCTCGACTGCTCATCTATCACGGTGCGACTTGCCTGTTTCAGGCGATCAGTTAGTAAAAAGGAGCGTAATGGTCAACGGCGCAGAGGAAAAAAGCGATTGAGGTTTGGGACGGGTTCTGTTAAGTTCTTTATGCGACTCGACCCATACCTCCCTCGGTGTTTCGTACCGCTGTTATTTCGCTGTTTACTATTTAGTTCCGAAAGCTTGGACCTGGCCACGGTGCGATCCACAGTTACATTAGGTACGGTGTGGTCACTTGGTTATTCCCTGATGCGATAGCGGGTCAGAATCAGATACTAGCGTTTTCTATTAGATGATTTAACATTGATACAATAAAATTCTGCTTTGTTAGTCATAGTGGTTTAGGGACTCTAAGCATATAAATTACCGGTTGAATGTGGCTTACATGCGATTGCCTTTGATTTAGCTGACAGAGGAGAAAGCTGAAAATGAAGAAATACAACGCCAATCAATGAATTTGAAGAAAAAGACATCTCGAGTCCAGTCAGAAATGGAAGATTTGAAACTTCTGCTAGAAGAAGAACAAACTAGAAATGCCGAATTGGAGAAGAAGCAACGAAGGTTGGTGACTAATACAGGCTTAAAAACAAACAAACAAACAAAAGAGCAACTGAAACTAAGTAAAAACAATATCGACCAGATCAGTTATAAAACAAAGAAAGTGTGCAAAGGGATGTGCATCTTATCCCGCGTAGTCAGTTTCTACTGTGGTGATTTTAGAGTGAACAGCTTATCAGAAGGTGGGGGG